AGAGAGAGAGAGAGAGAGAAGTATAATTAAATTTAATGCAAAGAAACAGTTAAAGAAAGAGTAAATGATGAGAAGGGAGGGATTGTTGATGAAAAATGGAGAGCTCAGAGAAGATTGGAATTTTTTGTTGCGTGCTGAATCTAGTGAAACGGATATAAAGAGACTTTTCCAACTATATGCCATCAGAGAGCAAGAGAGACCTTGTTATTATTCTTTTCTATTAGCAGTTTGGACATTATTTTCATGCAAAAAAACTTGATACACGAGTTGACTCAGTTTTTGCTTGCACTCAGTACAAAGTTTTAAAGTTTCATATGATGATAAAAAAGATGAAGGCAGAAGTGAGGCCAATATCATAACTAAACCATTATTAAAGGTCCTGAATCAAGGTAATTATTTTAATTTTCATGCCAAAACACAAGGGAGAAAAAAGAAATAACCTAAAATGAAAGTTAGAGCATGTAGAGCAAAAAGATGGTCACCTCCAAATAGATCTGTGCGCAATGTTCTTCTAAATTTCTCTTGAAAGTGGTTAACAATTAAAGAGCAAGAGAAAACGACAAACAGACAATGTTGGTTCCTAGTAACTACTGTATGGGACGATGATGGCCTCATCGGCCACAGAGATCAAAAAAGCCAGAAGATCCCATAAACTGTGTCCTCAGAGCTTTTCTACATTCCAAAGACCAAATCCAATTATACTGACATCTTGGTGGTCAGAGCAAGTTTTAGCACATATATTGAACTTTTTTTTTTGGGGGGAATGTACCACATTAGTGTACATATCGTGTAAGTTTGGGGGCATAATTGTTCTTAGTACTCATCTATTATAATTTTCTAGTTATATCAACAAAACCATCTAAAAAACACAATTCTTTACAAGCTAACTAACATGGACAGTTAATATATGTCCAGCAGTAAATAAAATATTCATTGCTCCAAATTGTAGATAAAAAATATCCCATATCAAGTCTTACATCCTTTGGCACATTAGGATGTCAAAGGCAACAGGAAATTTCCTTGAAACTCACATGCTATATTCACTTAATAATTTAATATATTGAATGTCAACAAAGAACAACATAAGGAACAGAATAGCACATGAGCAAGGTAGTAGAATATTATCCTTTCGCATGTTATGATTTCAAAACAGTGTAAATATCTTCTTTTGATACCCACATATGTTATGGCCAGAAGTACATTGAACAAGGAAAACAAAGACCAAGGAAACCCAAAATAACACACCATCAAAGCACGATTGCGTGAACGGGGCAGTTCTTGGATAAACTTTTCAAAGGCCTCCAACCTTACTTTTCCCTTGACTTCAATACATTTAGACCAACTGATCTTCGGTGGCTTTACATCACTGCACATGGATTAATCATTGTCAAGCTATGTTGGGGTCTTTGAAAATACATGGAGGAATATGAAGCGAAAGTAAATGATATAAGAAATTGATTGCCTTTCTATGTAGGATTTACAAGAAAACCATAGGCGTCTGAAAAGATAATTTTGTCTCTTTGGCATCAAAAAGCAAGTCTTCGAAATTCACAAAGCAAAATATTTTCTTCAAGTTTTGTGAACCAGCAATATGATAAAATTTCTATCTGGCCTACATAATTAAACTGAAATGTCAATAGATATCATTCGTAAATGAATTTAGCAGTGCATCCATAAGCTTAATACGGTGAACAGGATACAATTTTATATGCATTTCATCTACATTTCTTTCAATGAAGAATCAAATATGTTCATCACCATCATCATCATGCAAGCCTTATCCCCAATTATTTGGGGTCGGTTTACGAATCAAATTTGATACGGTACTAAAATACATTTTATAGTAGTGGCATCCATGTTGATACCCTATAATGATTTCTTAAATGTGGAAAAGAAACTAAGCCATTGTTGAGGTAACACCATCTAGAACACACCTCAATAAAATAAAAGATCTCCACTAACACTTTTTCCTTACTCTATTTCTCCAGCAAATAGTCTAAATGATTGGCCACCAAAGGTAATCAGTAATATTTCAGCTAATACCAATATAATATGAGGGCCCATGACCAGCTAGTTGCTAGCTAGCAGTTTGCCATTTCAAGCACAATATTGCTACATGTTACACTCCTACCTTTTGCAATATCTGGGGTATTCCAGTAAAAAACTCTTTGAAAATCAAAGGCTCCTGAGCATGAAAATAGTAACAACATGTTTTAAGCCATTGATGTTTCAAGGCTTATATAATCAATGGTAAGAGATCACCCTCAGATGTGCAGTTACACTGCATTCAAAATCGAAGGCAAAAGATGAACCTGCCCACAAGAAGCGTGCATACACCCACACACAACCTTTCACTGTAACATCCTTTGTGACTTTGATTTTCAATGAACTGTTATGTGTGTGTGTGTAATTTTCTTTTGCCTAAGGAATATGAGCTCATACAATCATTCTAGTTAACTTATGCATGGTATTTATTTGGTTGGAGTGTATAACCATTTTATGCTTCTAACTTTTAATGAATGAACGATGACAGCAAGAGTACATCAACTAAGAATACACATGTTACAAGGAGCTGGCTGCCCCAATGCCCTTAGCTAAAAATGATTGTCTAGAAAATATAGACGGTAAACATATAAATAAATAGATAATTTCATACAGAAAAATATATGTACAAGCTCAACATATATGGAACAGAGCAAATCAATATTTATGGCATCCATATTCAAAAGCATTTTACGTGAATGCAGAAAGTAGAAGACATTGATGACAGAAAAAGTAAAAAGTAGATTTTCTTTTTGTGTAAACATATAACAATTAGAGTTCAGAAAGAAGAGGCTGTGAACCTTTTTCTATATGCAACTGCTTCCATTTTATGTGAAGAGTTTAACTGCAAGTGCCCCTCCCACAGCTTGTCATCAAAAGATGGATTCACCGTTCCCATATTTGAATTTCGTTCAGTGTCTAAATTAAGAAAATGGCGTTTTAAATCATTGCCATCCTTTCTGCCATTGGATTTTTGAACCCCTAAACTTTCCGAATGTTCAACTGCAACCTCCCCCACATTCGAACCATGTTGTGTGGCAGGCGTATTTTCTTTTATAGGATTTCCAGAAGAACTCACTCCATTCTTTGGTTTTCCATCCTCTGAATGAGAGCTTCCAGTACAAGAGGAAGACACAGATGTTGTCATTCTTAAGGGCACAGCACTCTGTTTTGGGTCCATTTTTCTCATGAGATGGCATGTAGCATTGGTGGAAAACCCATTCAAGCTAATAGTTTTGGACCTTTCTGCACTTTCATGCTGTTGATCAAAGGCACTAACATCACCCCTTTCCGAAAACGAAGCAGTCTGTGGAGAGCTGACTCCAACACACAAGTCACCAGGGAGATTTGAATTTGTTACTCCAGAGCTAGTGTTATCCTTTAAAGTGAGAATAAGTGCCTGTGCTTTTTGTATATATACATCACTTGCACCCCCATATGAACTGAATAGACAGGCTTCAATTTTATAAGCTAAATCCTGAGAGAACTGCTGCCTATCAGGTTGTTGAGTACCTTCAAGGTTCCTTTTTGCAAATTCAGTTCCAGCAGTCCCCTGCAAAGTTTCCCCCAAATATGCGCTGACGGCTTGAGACATTTTATCATCATTCAACAAGAGATACATAACCTCTTCTCTTAAGTTATTTCTATCTGACTCAGATAAGCCCTTGAAGCTCTTAGCATGCTGTCCAGTAAATTCTGCTTTCCTTTTTCTTGATAAATCAGTTGATATCTCGCTTTTGGGAACACCAAATGCGTCAGGTCTAATAGAACCACAGTCCACTAAGTTCAACATAAGCTTATTGTTCTCCATTCTACATTCTCAAGCTCAAAGTCATCTTTGATAAACCTCACCTGAACAATGCCATATGCTTTAGGAGATGTAACAATGAAAAGAATCCATAAAATGCCCAATCGAAGGCAACAATTGAAAACGAGAGTGCTGTGGACCCCACTTTCCAACAAACAAATAAAACACAAGAAGCATATAGATGAGCCAATTATATGTTATAACAAAATCAAGGAGCAAATATTGATGGATCAAACCGTAAAATGCATCCTAGTATGTAATAAACCTCTACCTGCACAAAATATTCCTAGCATCAGGCAACTCAAGCTATCAATAACTCTAAACAAAGTGAAACTGGCAGCATCCTATGCTACTAGTAAAGTTGAAAATATTTTTTTTTCAGCTGCTTTAAATGTCTGATGCAATCTGAGTGTTCCTAGAACCTAGATTGTTAAAGGACTTAGTTTATTATTTGTGAGGGTTACTGGGACACAGATACTCATTTGTCAGCCTAAGCATAGCTAGCATCAAGACAAGCAGCACTAATTATTGATTGAGTTTGAAAGCACGCTGCAGTCATATACATTTTTTTCTTGATAAGTAATCTGCAGTCGTATACATAAATTTGATAGTTTGTTGGGTAGGAAACATCTTGCGCAGTTTCATAGATAGCACAATGAAACTTTGAAAATGGATTTTGCATCATATGGATTATTGCTTTATAATGGCAGACCAATTGGTCAGTGCATGATTCAATGAACTCTAAAAGGGAGTTTTTGACTGTCATACCCAATATAGCATGCCAGATTAGTATTGCAAATTATGCATACTAGTAACACACACACACACACACTTCCATCACTTTAGCGCAAGGGCAATCTAGCATAATAGACTCCCACAGGAACATGTTATAGATGACATTTGCAAGAATTGTCTAATCTTATCAGGAAAGTATGATGTAATGTAACCCTTATATGCATGCCGATTGCTGTCTTCACGCACGCCAAGGTGTCTCAGCCTGATATGCGTTGTGCACAATTTAGCATAGTATAAGTGGACCTTTTGGATCTGGACATGCTGGTTTTGCATATCTCTTGCTCACTTGTGCTTCTGGAAGAAGATTTCTAAGATTAATACAGATAGATGGCATGTTTTCAAATATTTTGAAGGTTTAAATTTCATAAAAACTGTTTTGTGTCATGGAATTCCAGCACATATTATGACTGTATCATTAACAAAAAAAAAAACCCATATTCATGACGGCATTTGCCCATTCTAGGTAACAGAATTACAACAATCTAAAGATAATTTCCCATGCATGATTATGTGTATTAGTGAATCAAACGCACTGCATGGATGGAGAGGCTGGCACCCATGAAACAACCAATCCACTTGTTCACATGCAATGGAATCTATTGTTATCAAATGTGGCCACATAATGCATTATGAGCCACATCATGAGCTATGTGCCCTCAGGCACATTGCAAGCCCACAGGCTGGCACTTTTTTTCTTTTCTTTTTTTTGTAAGTTTACCCCATGAAAAAGGTGTGGAAAGAGTATTAAGGGGTATAGACCTTCCAAAAAGACCCTTAGAAGCAATTTTACATAGTTCTAAGGAGATTAAAACCAAGAGATTGAAATTGTTTTGGGAATTGTTTTGAAGGAGCTTAAAACCAAGTGACTGAAATTGTTTTGGGAATTTTTTGAAGGTTTTGGGCAAGCATTCACCAAGTAAGCAGGGCTTTCAAGGGCCGAGGTGATTAAAACATTAGAAATTGAAATTTCTTTTGATTTTGAGTTTGGTATTGGAATTTGAGAACTTTCAATGGACTCTTTTTTTTTTTGTGTATGTTTCATTTGCTAATACTTTTTTCTGAAACAAGATCTTCGCCTTCTGAATAACAAAGATTCGGTATGGAAATGTCTGAAACTTAACAGCCCTAAAATTCGTAATAGGCCATTTTGTACTCTATTAAAGAACTTACAGAGGAAAATTACAGGCAAACATCTTGTCGGGACTACCAAGAGCTTTAGAGCATATGCCCTCAAGCAACCAATGACATTAGAAGGGAGATTAGGGCATATTAGCCAGCGAAGAAAAAAAAAGAAAGCGATGAAACAAAGAGAATTTTATTATGAAATCCAAATATTTGATAAAGAAGATGTATCTAAAGGTGGAAATGGGTGTAGGGTTATAAAGGAGAGGGTTATAAATACTGGTGGTAATGTTGGCAAAGAAATACGTCTTCCTAAGGGGCTAAGTGATGCATTTTTCACTCCTAACACCAAGGTTGTGCTAAAGGATATGAGGAAAAAAATAAAACTAACCACACTTGAAAATAGATACAAGAAAGAAAAATGACATCATCATCCGAGTCTTATCCTAACTATTTGGCGTCGGCTACACAAATCTTGTTCTCCTATTCTGCTCTATCAAGGGCCATACCCTCAAACAGACCATATATCACCATATCTCTTCTTACTACTACCCTCCATATCTTCCCCCTGCCTTTTTAGATCCTTCCACTTGAACCAAAGTGCCCCTCCAAAATGGTGATGTACTAGATTTATGTTGCATATAATCAGCTCACCTAAGTCTACTTTTCCTCATCTTATTGCCATTTGGAACCACCCCTAAGTTCCCTCGCATGTATTCATTATGAATTCTATCCTTTCTTGTCTTGTCACCTATCCATCAAAACATCATCTCAGCTACACTCTACACTCATCCTATGGACATGATTTATTGCGAGTACTCTAGTGTGCCTCTATTCATTGTAACAAAATAAATGTACTTTACGAACATACCATGCAATAGTTCTCCCAAAAACTAAATAAGATCACTAGGAAATCTGCAAGAGCATTATTCTTCATATAAAGGAATGATGGAGAAGAAGGATAGCTCTTAAGAAAGGTATGACAGATGCAAACTATCCCCCACATCCCCTGATGCCTATCAGAAAGCATAATATCCTATCCTCCTTGGAGAAAGACTTAACTATTTCCATCCGCAAAAGCATAATCCCTCATATAAAAGAATGATGGAGAAGAAGAATAAGTTTAAAGAAATGGAGCCAGGAGGATGAAAAATACCCAATGCATCCCTAGATGCCTTTGAAGCCTCCCTAAAAAGGGTAATATATCCCTATCCTCCTTGGAGCAAGACTTCCGTATTTTTCCATCATTATCTAGAGCCTTCCTCTTGCTCTAGTTGGTATGGTACTTATCCATAAGGTTGATTAGTGATGGTTTCATGGCCAGTGGAGGCATCGGATGACAAGCATTGTCTTTTTTATTTCCTGCCAAGAACCTTTAGTATGAGGGATCCAAACCTCTTAATTATCCAGTACTCCAGTAAATGATATTGGTTGATTTTACAGCATTCATGCACAAGAATTTACAGCATATCATATATTCAAGGCACGGCTGTTCTGATCTTTCCTTTGAAAGAACAATTCTCATTTTTCGCAAACTTGCACAGATACTTTTTCCAAGCAGTCCCACAAAGCTAACAGTCATCATGCTCAAACACTTCAATCTTCAGGCATTACTCGATTCACTTAAAAAGATAAGGCACGAGAAAGGCCCAATTTTCTGATTAGCAAATTATATCTTATTTATGAGACAATGACAGTTCATAGAGGTTTATCATAAGAATGTATTTCCCCTAGTAATAGCATGGCACATGGCTGCATAGGGGGTGGGTGTCTAGTAGCAATATTCAAGACCATTTTATGTTTGAGTTTATGGTTGTACGACAGTGCAAGTCTTTTTTAGGGAACTTTTCATGTCTTTTCACTAATGATAAGTGCATGCATGTGTGGCAACACTTAATTAAGAGGGACTTTAGAGCCTCAAAATTCTAGGCTGTTAATGTGTGCGGGACTTCTCGAGCCTAAGTGTATACCTAGGCTTGGGCTTAACCCACAGCCTTGTGACCAAACTGTGCTTGAGATTTAAAGAACAGCCCAAACATTGACTTGCTCAATCTTGCGTCATCCCAAGGATACCACCCATCTAGATCCTCCATTCCACATACAAGGTCAGGTAATCAACTCTAGCTTCATTTACTTTGTAATGAATTTAAGAGGAGCCTGAACTATCCAAGTCATGTTTCAAAGGATTTCTTATGGCATTTCAAGACTAATTTGTTATTCAAGTCGACATTTTCTTTCTCCTTCCCAGCCATGAGATCGATGCATTGATGGATAATGGCCTATAGCATGTTCAAAATCTAATAAAATGGAAGATCATTGATATTTGAAGAAATTAAGCTAATTTAAGTGTGACAGCTTGTTAGCGAGTAGCAAACTCAATGTACTTAGGATCTCTGTTTGTCAGTCATCACCACGCAATTACAACCATCCATTTTATTTGATTTAATAACAACCTTGGATTTTTCTCTAACAAACTATGAATCTCTGCTTACACAATAGAGTCCTCATGAATAAAGGTTTTGCATACATAGGATATTAGATAAATTCCTCAATATTTGGATTTAGATTTTATCAAGTATAGTACAGGTTATGTCACTCAAATATTTTATACTTTTTAATCACTAATTGTTGTTGCTTAAAAATAATTTATGCTATATACACTAGACATGCTAAATTTCTCGTCCTATCCATTTGTCAAGCATCATTGTACAATCGCAACCTTCCGTATTAACTGATCTTATCATACGTGAAAGATAAAATAATCATATCTTATCCTATTACCTGAGAGAGTCCCAATACAAATAAATTAACTGCTATTTGAGAATCATAATCAAAGTGGCATAGGGATTTCCGCTAGGAATCTCCTTTCATAGACTCCTAATAAATAAGGTTTCCAGACATATACATGATTATGATATATCTTAATTTCAAATTTTATTTTTGTTTTAAAAATAAAAAATTGTGGAACTTTCTAATTCTTTTAAATTTTTCAACTACAAATTTTTATTATTTTTTAAATTTTGCCTCTATAAGATAAGGAGTATGGAGAATAATTTGTCCATATACAATAATCCTAATAAACAAATTTTAATAAATTCTGATTACTAACTCAAATTCTTTATTTATC